TATTTTTTATATAGTTCATCAGGGATTTGTTTTACAAAATCACTTTTTGGTGTCATGTCCATTATTCCTCTGCATGCCAGCAGATCATGGTTGGTGCTTTTGAAATTGTCAAAAATTTGTATAATTTCCATGGTCATCTCATCCACTTGAATATCTTTACTCAAAATGCCTTGAATTTGAATCTATCAAAACAATTGTAGCATATTACTTAAATATTTCAAAGAGAAAAAATGATTACAAGTACATTAGTATTAAGTCTTAACATACATCACTTGCATCTTCTACTTCAACTCCACTTGTTGAAAGATTATCAACTGCACTGTTAGAATTCTGTTCATCCTATATGATGCATATTTTGGTTAATAAAATTAGAACCAGTGTATTACTTGCTCTGTTGCAACCTACCTCACAAACTCCAGTTCTCCTTTTCTTTGCTGATCTTCCATAATCTGATTCACCTTCCTGCTAAAAGATCAATTCTTTTAAATTATGTAACATAATATAGCTATAACAATTTCACTGCATGCTTACTATTACTGATGTATCCAACTCTGACACACTCCTGTGTACTGAGGAATTGACTCTGTCATGCACATTTTGATTTGTATCAATTATTTCGGATATGATTGTGCCCTATATAGCAAGAAGATAAGAAACATATTTACAAATCTCAAATAAAAAAAAGTTGCATACCTTTGTTTTCTCCATTTTCCATTTCTCCCAATCATCTGCATACTCCCCGTTCTAATCGTGCAACGAATGGTCATTTAAATGCAATTAAGGTATGGTTTTAACAATATCAAAGTTTGGTTCATACATTATACTTGTTTAGAAGTGAATTCAATGTATCATTGCTACGACAAGCCTGGAGCAACAGCCTGCTGTACTTGGTCATAGCAGCTGATTTACTCCTGGGATTTGTGAGTCGGAAAAATGCGAGAGGAGTTGGTGATTCGCTTTGTAGCATCCATTCCATTAATTGCTGTTCCAGCTCGGCTGCTTCTTGTTCTGAAAGTCTTCCCATTCTCGAAAAAAACAAAACAAAACGAAAGGCCAGTTAGCAAGCTATGATTAATGATTAATGTCATATCAAGTATATAACGTGATAATGTTAGATGGGTTGTGCGGCCGCAGCCTTTACTCCGTGACCGGCCATCAAGACGGCACTGTCGCCCTTCGTTATCAACAACCCCTTCATAACTTGGTGCGACCGCAGCCTTCACTCCATGACCGGCCATCAAAGATGGCACTACCAATATTAATATTGGCTTCCGACAACTCAAGTCTGTCGCTGTCGTCCTTCGTGCTTAACCAAGTTATGGTGAAGAAAACTGTCTCGGTTGACAGCTTACCTGTTTCTGCAAAAACAAGTACCGCACGCGAATAAGCCTCTAACTGGTTGAGAATAACAATGCTGAAATTCGACCGCCAAGCGTTAGAGGAAAATGACCGTTTTGTTCTTCAGAACCACGGCGGGTAGGAATACGA